GACCCACAATTGAAGTGTATCAAGTAAAAAAAAAAAACACTGTTCCTCATATGAAATATGGTGGAGGATCAGGCATGGTGTTTGTGGAAGGAGCTCAACCATGGTGTACCGAGAAGGCACCCTTCAAACCTGAGACATCTTGAGCAGTTTTCTCACGAGCCGTGGGCCAAAAACCTGTTGACAGGTGCAGAAGACTCATTTACAGTTACAGAATTAAATTTGTTAAGTTTGATTGCAGTGATTGCCTCAAAATCGACAAAATATTAAGGGAAACAGTATTTTTTCTTCAAGTCACTTTATTAGGCGTTTTTGAATGATTCTGTTGAACCACAATTCAAAAGCAATGACTTGATTTTTATTGGTTAATTTTCAGTTGTTGTTTTTTTTCCGTCAGTTTTACGTTATTTCAGTTCAGACCATTGTTGTTATTCCTTTTGTTAAAAAAATGTACAATTTGGGATTACGTCGTTATCTCCCATAAATTTATTAAGAAAGTTTTGTTAAATAATTTTGACATATTGAGTTAAAACTCGCCAACTAGTTTTTGCGGGAACTAGTTGTGGAGCCGAGAGAATGAATAGATAGATAAAAAGAAAGAAAGAACTTTATTGATGCCTCGGGAGTTCCCTTTAGGATAGTTTGGTCTAGATTGTTATTGTTGTTAACTATACACATACACATACTAAAGTACTATACTATACTATATTACACATACTATATTATTGTTCTATTTATATAATCAAGTGTAGTATGAATATAGTATAAATTAATATATGTGCACACATACATACATACACTTAATATAAAATATATATTTTATATAAAGTGATTTGAAAAGCATGGCAGAAAATACGGTAGCATATATACTATATACATGTATATATACATACACACATATACTGTACACATTATATTGTTGTTAACTATACACATACTAAAGTACTACACTATATACTATATACTATATTACACATACTATATTATTGTCCTATTTATATAATCAAGTGTACTATGAATATAGTATAAATGAATATATGTACACACATACATACACATGCACGTACTGTAAATATATATTTTATATTGAGTGATTTGAAACGCATGGCAGAACATACGGTAGCATATATACCATATACATATATATATACATACATACACACATATACAGTATACATGTAATACAATATATATCAATATATCTATATTAAGTCAGTGTAGTAAAAGGCGTGGTAGAACATGGATCTATATGTACGGTATTTATATATATATATGTAATACGTGTATGGGAGTCAGTCTAGAAGCCCTTCAAGGCTTTGAGCGCCTTGGTTTGACCGCTAGATGGCAGTTTAGAGTTAATACTCCATGAGTAAAACACAGTGTGAAAATAACAAACGTGAAATTATATATTTTAATATATAAGTCGCACTTGAGTATAAGTCACAAACCCAGCCAAAGGATGAAAAAAAGTGTGACTTATAGTCCGGATCCCCCCCCTCATTTGTGAGTTTTTTTTTTTTTGTTTGTTTGTTCCTTTTTTTTCATAATACAAAACATGTGTTTTTAACTTAACTTGAAAGATTTACACAATATACTGTATATACACAAGTATTTGCACACAGATATTGACCCAAGCAAACTACCCCCCCCTCATTTGTGAGTTTTTTTTTTTTTGTTTGTTTGTTTTTTTAATGTCAAAATGTCCATCCTTAGGTGAACCAGCAGATGTCAGCATTCTCTCTGAATGGTACGGGTGGCCAGATGACGTTTAGCCAGCCATCATCATCTATGGGTGGATGGACTGCAGCTGGATCTGCCCCGACTCTGAGTACACAGCTATGGAAGTAAATCTTCAGACACATGGTGGTGGGATTAAAAAAAAAAAAAAAGGAAATCTAGATCACACAAAAAGTACAATGAATTTGCTGTTTGCTTGGTCTTTCACAAACTGAACTGATGGCCAAATACTCACGGACCTTCAAAAGCTACCACATTCTCTCCCCCCGCCGCCCCACCCCCCCTCTCTCTCCATGTGTTTTTTTCTCTTTTTGTGAGTCAACTGGAGGGTGTGACTATATCGTAGCATTATCGTTTTTGATCTTAACTTTTCATGGGAGAAAGAAAGAAAAAAAAAGCAAGGTTCCAACAGAAATTATACCACCATATGGAGAAAAAGCTGCAGGACCAGTTACACACAATTTCATTGTATCACTTTATAAATATAAGATTATAGAACGTTTAAACGAATCATATTTAAAGGGGCAAGGTCCACTATATTGTCTGTCAAGTACTGCTTGCATATACTGTGTGTATAACCTTTCAGAGTACTTTTGTTTTCCCTATAAAATTAAAGTAACAACCAACATCTTACCCTTGACCCCTGTCTTGTGTTGACAAACATTCTGTTTAATATTTGGATCTGCCCATGTTTGGAGGTTCATACAAATACGCCATCTCTAGTTTTGAAAATAAATGAAAACCGTGAAAAATATTACAAAGGCTATATATATATTTAGAGTATGCTGGAAAGAAAAAGACTATTTTTTTTCTCAATTGAGGGGAGGGAACAAACTAGGCTTGGCCTACACCAATGTCAAAGAGGCATGCAGGGCAACACCCTGCCCCAACCTAGGATCTTCAGACCATCAGTCTGTATTACTAATTTCAAGCACATAAAGCCCTGTGGATCAGGGAGAGAAGGAAGTGAGGGTTTGGCCAGCAGGACGGGCATGGGCTGGGACATGTTTAAAGCAACGGCTGCAGACAATAATCAAATGCAGGTGGGGCAGTAAGTTGAGTCTATGTCTATGGACTTCCAGAAAATGGATACTTGGTAATGTAGAAAGGATAGAACCGGGCTTTTAAATCTGGGAATAGGGTGAACTGCTAGAACTGTGCCACTTGAGTTGACAAGCCTGCCAATGGTCAGAGCATGCAGGGCTTCATCCATGAGTCCATAAACACAAAACAAAGTTGGCAATACATAAAAACAATGGTTATATAAAATTGTCTGTGAAAACAGTTACGGTATTTTCCTGGTTATATAAAAAGTTTAACATAAAAGATAAAGGTCTGTGAAAACAGTTACGGTATTTTCCGCACTATAAGATGCTCCAGAGTTTAAGTTGCACCAGCCAAAAACTGCATAATGAGGAAGAAAAAGAAAACATACATATGTAAGTTGCTTCGGAGTATAAGCGGCACTAGTCAAAGGATGAAAAAAAGTGCGACTTACAGGAGTTGTATAGAAGTCTAGAGTGCCCTCCAGCGGCTGTTGGTGTGAAAATAACGAATGTGTACATTTTCAGTTGTACAGGAGTAGCAGATACTGGTACATAAGCCTAGAGTGCCCTCTGGTGGCTGTAAAAATGAAACTAGCAAAAGTGAAATTCTATGTTCGCACCTGAGTATAAGTCTCAAACCCATCTAAAAAAATTGCGACTTATTGTCCGAAAAGATATGGTACATTTAAAATGTGTTTAATACACAAGACAAAAATGTGTCCTTGGAGGCACTGAAATTATCTTGAAAACCAAAGGGGGGGGGGGGGCGGCAGAGAAAGTTTTGGAACCACTGACTTAACCGATTTCTTTATAATAAGCCATAGACTTAAATTAGAAAATATAAAATAATTAGAATCTCACTCAAGCAAAACTCTTATAAGGTAAATATGCCTTACTCAACACTGGAATTCTTTTGTTCCTTTCTTGCCCTGACATTGAAGCACTTCTTTGCACCTTTGAAGTTTTTTTTTTTTTTTAATCAGACTGTTTGTTTAAACACCAGACACGCCCTGGTTGAATACATTTCACCGCACAACTATGCAGTACACGGAACACTCTCTAAAGTAATCTATTCATTTCATAATCTCAGTTTGTTATAATGGAACGCAGCACATGTATTTGCCACCTAGCTGTTGTAAGCACTAGGGGCCCCACCCAGAACACCACCCAGTGGACACTCCCAGTTCTCCCAGATTATATGCAGGGTGTGGTTCCTCAAACCAGCCATGCTTGCTTAACACCTACTTAATAGTCCTCCTGCGCAGCCAAGTCGCAGCCACATGCCTTTTTATTGACAGAGGCTTACACAAAACAATACCACACCTATTGTGGCACCGTTTGGGAAGAAACAACCAGCATAAACCAAACTCGTGGTGGCACGTTGAACGTTGAATCTGTTTCGCGTTTGCCTCGCTTCGGCGTCCGCACTGTCGAGAATTTTTTTTTTTCTGAGGAAGGTCAGCTGTACTGTATCTGAGACTTTTAGCACACAGTCATGGTATTCCCTCCAGCTTGTGAAAACGTTCTCATGTGTGATTGCTTTTTTTAGAAGACAAAGTCACTATTACAAGCAAGACTACAAATTCCAAGGATTCAAAGATCACATTTGCACAAGCGTAGCAACCTCTTGATTTCCAGAATCATAAATCTTGCGTTAACCAAACTCACTGCCATCAGCGGATTGCTCCATGATAGCCTACATGGCTTTTTATGGATCAGTTAAACAGTTATTAATTTGTCAATCACAGTGTTGTCCCTTGGACTCACAATCGATAAAGTGCTTTATTGCAGCGGTCCCTAACCTTTTTTGGACCAAGGACTGGTTGGCCAGTACCAGCTGTTACTGCGGGCCAGTGATACCAGTTGAAGGATCATTAAATTTCAGGAGTAAAATATATCGGAGTATGAATGACCTATTGTTTCGAAACATTTCCAGATTGTCGTTCATTGAAAAAAGTAAATGCATATAAACTGGATTCTTTGCGAATGAAGTAACTTAGTGAAACTGAAATACATTTTTTTCCACTGTGTCCCACTGCGTCCTGGTATCAAACGACTTACAACCCGGCACCAGTCCCCGGACCAGTGGGGACCCCTGCTTGACTGTACTTACTTACTATACAAAATCGACTTTATATTGATTATTTAGGAAGGAATTTTCTTTTTATATATTTACCCAAAGCTGTTAAACTCCATTGAGGCAAATAAAAATGACTGCCAAACAAAACAACAGTCTCTTTCAAACTCCCACAATCATCTTGTCAGTTGAATGTCAGTTGCTGAATCAAAAAACAATTTGTACAAGCTATTTACTAATTCAAGGAACCCATAAATCTTCCTTTGCTCTAACTTCAGGGGATGATGTAATAACGTAAATGGCAAGAAGCCAAGACAGGAAGAAAAGAACAAAAAAATGCTGTTAACAAATTAGCATCAAATTGGATTCCTGTAGCTCTTTGTGCATAAGATTTGTATCTTAAAAAAAAAAAAAACTATCCCTTTATTATTTATTGTAGGAAGCAGGTTCATACGAATATGTTTGCCCCTTATCCCCAAAAATAAAACGAGGAGTTTTCAGACTCTTTTATTTCACACATTTAAAAGAAAATATTTTCCCATACCTTAAAGTTGTCCATTTTATGCTAGCATAAATGGGGCACAGATTCAATGGGCAACAGCAAACGCAAAAGCGAGAATTAAAAATTACAGCCTTCTTCGCAATATTATTACTATCAGGCATTCATTTTACACTTTCCGCCTTCGACCAATCATGACATTCTGCTTTCAAATGTTTATCGTGCTGTATTCTGATATCCAGAGGCTAACCCCAGTCATTTACTTAGTCAATTATTGATGTCGGTTTTATAACACAACCTGAGTACACAACAGAGGTTAAAGTATCGTCAAGATAGCTCGTTTCTTTGCACAATGACCTTCTTTGTTTAGTTACTCACTGGTGGCATTATTGCTGGGAGTTTTCTATCCATTTGTGTTCTGGCTACTTGGTAACCGTCTCCATGTAAAACAACAGAAAAGGGCTTAACGGCAAACATTAGTCATATTCTTGGGAGTGTCTTGTTTAAAGTACCTCTCTGGCCCCCTTTGCTTATTTGCTCAGTGATTTTTTTTTTTTTTTTTAGAGGCGCTGAGCTGAGCTCCTTTTTTCCTAAATCAACAAGTCTCCCGCACCAGAGAACTGAACCATTGTTCGCTCTTTCCTGACAACAGCTCTTGTTACATAACAAGATGACGAGATTTCCTCCTATGGTACAGATTTTTTTTTTTTTTTTTTTTTTGGAAATGAAAGTCATTGAGAATTTGATTTTTTAGTTTACTGGCAGTTTTATTTGTTCACACACACACACACGTACAAACACGCCCATGTCAAACACTTATTATTATTCCATTTGCAACTTCAAAACAATTCATGATTCATTCCTGAAGTCAAATAGGCCTGTTGTTCAGCATTTTATTCAGCGTGGCTCGACTTGTCGCGTGAAACGGCTTCGGTGACATCAGCGCGTGCCTGTTTGTCTGCGTGTCTTAGAACTTTTTTGTCTGCCAGTCGGTCCTCTTAGCTTCGCACAGTCGTTGTTGTGATTGTGGTCTTGGAGCCTCCTGTAAAAATAAAAAATAAATAAATAAATACAATTTTAACGCCGGCCATGCTGCGGTGCAATACCTCCTATGAAGCCAGGAATTTGCTTACCCGTACTGAGTGGTCTGTCATGTGATAATACGGAGAAAAGAGAAAAGAAGAAACAAAGTGAGAGGAAAATACTGATTGCAAGCCTTTCGTATCAGATCACTCTTGTCTCCTCAATGGGCGTCTACCTGGACTCCTCTGTCTCCAGCAGGCCCCTGTAGGTGGCGATCTCCTGCTCCAGCCTGGTCTTAATATCCAGCAGCATCTTATAGTCTTGACCCTGTTGCTCAATGCTGGCGCGCACGTTGCCCAGTTCAGCTTCTAGCATGTTGATGGTGTTCTGGAATCCGCCAAGCATGGCGCTGTAACGATTTTCTGTCTCTGCTAATGTGTTCTCCAGCGCTCCTTTCTAAAGGGAAGGAAAGGGAACACACTCCCTGAGTGGCATGTTTCGGACAGGTCAGCAAAAAAATGTAACATTATTGTGTATGGGCCACCCTCCCCCAGTAGGGAGGAATGGAGAGATGTGTTTCTCTTGCAAGAATAGTTGAAGGATTATCTTAAGCTGGGCAGAGATAAAAAAGGGAGGAGAATGGCCGTTTATGTGCCGTACACCCTAACATTCCTGAAGTGTGATTCAGTGCCTCATGTTTCCCCTTATGTGCTGTGTTCTGTGCCAAAGCGTTTCGTTATTTGAGTCCAGAATCTTTTGCCTTTTTTGTCTCTCTTTTCGAACCACTACCTCTCTTCCTATTTTCTTTCTTATTTTCTAAGTCTGTCTGTCTTTCTGTCTTTCTTTTGTTCTTCCTAATACATAGTCTCTTAGACTTTTTTTGTTTTTCATGCCTTTCCCATTCAGATGGGTTTGGGTTGTTGTTTGTTTTTTGTTTGTTTTTTGTTTGTTTTTTTGTCTTACCATGCTAAGCTGTGACTGCAGCTCAATCTCCAAGCCCTGCAGTGTGCGCCGTAGGTCACTGATCTCTGTCTTGGACGTCTGGATTGTTTCAGTGCTGACAGCTACCTCCTTAGACAGGCTGGCTGACTGTATTGGGGAAATAAAAAAAAAAAGTTTGATATAGACATGACGTTTACTTACTTACTTAGATGGGGCGTTAGCGAGTTTAACTTGTGGCTAATTAGTTTTACCTGATCATTAAACCAGGCCTCCTGATCCCGTCTGTGTTTATCAGTGATCGCTTCATACTGTTGACGGATCTCGTCCAGGATTTTGTTGAGGTCTACCTGAGGTGCGGCGTCAACCTCCACGTTGACTGTGCCAGTAAGCTGGGAGCGCATCGCTGCAAGGTCCTTAAATGCATGAAAACATTAGGCATCAGGGCGAGATCATCTTTAAGCAGCATTTCGACAGTGGCTTTGAACTGAACTAGCTGTTTTCCAAAACAGGACTGGTTTTCGGCGTAGCCCGAGAAATGGCGTCAGTTACCTCTGCGTGATTTTTCTTGAGGTAAGCCAGCTCATCCTGCAACCCTTCGATCTGCATTTCCAGGTCGGCCTTTGTCAAGGTGGTCTGGTCAAGGAGACGGCGCAGGTTGGCAATATCGGCCTCAACCGACTGGCGCATCATGAGCTCATGCTCGAATCTAATAAGAGTTGTAGCGTAAAAGAAACACGAATAAGTAACAGGAATGCATATACGCACGGATGCATGTATACACGCATAGATTTGGTCCTCACTTGGTTTTGAAGTCGTCGGCAGCGAGTTTGGAGTTGTCAATCTGCAGCAGGACGTTGGCGTTGGCAATGGTCGCAGCGGCGATCTGAAAGCAACAGCAGTGACAACAAATGATGTTAATAAAGGAAAAATGAATCAACAGGTGAGATAGAATAGAAATCAAAAAAAACAAAAAAACCAAATCTATCATACCTTGTCCTTCAGATCGTTGATAATGGCCCAGTAGTTGCTGTAGTCCCTCTCTGCTGCGGGCCCCTTCTTCTCGTAGTACTCTCGGATCTGCACTTCCAGCTTGGCATTCGCCGCCTCCAGGGAACGGACCTTTTCAAGGTAGGAGGCCAGGCGGTCATTCAGGTTCTGCATGGTGGCCTTCTCATTGAGATGAATGGAGCTCTGGTCCGCGGCACTGGACAGATTGAAGCCACCGCTACCACACATGGACATTCCTCCACCATAGCTACCGCCACCACCCATGGCCATTCCTCCACCATAGCCAGAGGAAACGGTGCGCGAGACGGAAGAAGAAATGCGCGGGCCTCCGTAGCTGAGGCCGGACACACTGTAAGCCTTGGTGGGAACACTGGATGTGTAGCTGCGACTTTGTCTGATGCTTCTGGTGTTCATTATGGCTGGAAATCGTCTGCGGGTTCACAGGAGAACTGAAAGGAGTGCTGCTGAGCTGCTGAAGACAAGCAGGACGGTGAGGGTTCAATAACGCGGACAGGCTCTTCATATAGTGCGTGACTGGGGCGGGCCTGGCTTCAAGGAGGAAGGGAGGGAGGCAGAGAACGAAGGAGGGAGTTTCCCTTTACACTCCTACCACAGGCTGTTGCAGTGTGGGACCATTTTCTTTCCTACAGGATCAGAGTTCATTTTTCTAAATCCCTTTCTGTGTGTGTGTGTGTGTGTGTTTTAGTTTACCATGAGTCAATCATTAAACCGTATGAAAAGAAAAATCATTTTTTTCCTCTTTTTCCTTTCACCGTGGGTTGACGCAGTAATGTTTCAGTAATGTCTTTAGTGTCAGCAAATACTATTACATAAAGAGGTTGGTTTATAAAGTGTAAGTATGTCATTGATTTCACTTATTATGGTGTTCGGTGTTTCACAGTATCCAGCATGTAGCATATCCTTCCCAGTCCTGTAGATGGTGCTATTATACGAAGCCTTTTCTGCTGGACTAAACTGTCCCGGAATCTGTAATTTATCAGCCCCACCCCAGTTAAAAAAAAAAAACCCCAACCTTCCTTAATAGCAAAACAAAATGTCTTCTTTAACCAATCAGATTTTGACTAGTTGGCGACACCGAGGCCATTTAACAGGCATGCAGTTATGTTGGCATTTTGAGTGCGTCGATTGAGTGTTCTTTGACCATGCGGTCAAAGATTTGTAGTATTAGCAGTGTGTGTGCTAGGTCATAGGTTATTTTGTTGTTGTTGTTGTTGTTGGTGGTGGTGGTCTGTGAAAAGACATAATGATGTCTAGCGGTGAAATAGGCAGCTAGGCAGCTAGGCATCTAGCATGTTAGTGGTATTTTAGCACTGTGCTGGCACATATCATATCATATTTTGTCACGAATCATACCAAAACTTTGACCGAGAATATCTGCCAATATCAGTGCCATCGCGTAACCTTGATTACTCCTATTTTGAAGTCGTTAATAATATGTGTATGTCTTTGTATGTCTTTGTATGTTTCTACATTGCTAAATATATTAGGTTTATGTCACCTAAATGATGCTGTCGCACCATTTTTGTCAAGGACTAAAACCCACAGTTAAGTTAATTTTTTCGGACAATAATATATTAAAATATATAATTACACTTTTGTTAGTTTTTACACTGACAGCCGCTAGAGGGCACTCTAGGCTTGCGTACCACTATCTGCTACTCCTGTACCACAAGGTAACCATTTCTTCTACACTGGTAAATATTTCATCTGTACAAAAAAAAAACAAACTTCCAACAAAAAGGAAAAACAAGAAATAAGGTAAAAACATGTTCCCAGGACAAAATACTTTCTCAAAATACTGCTTATCACCCATTGCAGGGGGGGGGAAGGGTTTGCATATAGAACAAGGTTCCACTATGATCTCATCCTTTGACCTTGGGCAAAACTATCTCCCCCTCTTCCCCCGGAAAAACAACAACTGAATTCTTGTGATTTTTCCTTGAGCGGGGCTTATTGTTCTTTTTTTGAAGTGTATATTAAAAGAAGTACTTTTTGATCATACGGTATGTGAATATGAGATAGGATTGAGTGGGAGCAATGGAGCAACGGAGCAAGTGTTGTGTTGTGTTTCTTTTTATTGGACAGCGCCACCAGTTCCAGCATGTTTCACACATCGCCTTGACTTTTTAACTACAATACACTATTCACACAACCCTGTTGTATGTGTGCGCGACTGTTTATCTGCCATCCTCCCTCTTCCTCTAGCCACCCCTCCCCCTACACTTCCTCCTATAACAGCACCCCCTAAAGGTGTCGGCATGTCATTAAGCCTCACACAAAAAGTGTTTTATGGTCTTGAATTTTTTATTTTTATTTTTATTAGACAGTGCAATGAACATTATTTGTCATTTGAATAAACAGTAATCAATTGCTGAGACGATTTCAGTTACACACCTGACTCTACATGAACCATAGATTTAACGTGAGTGTGAACGGTTGTTGGTCTCTATATGAGGACATGTATTCAACGAATGCTAATAACAAGTCAAGGTTATGTTATCTGAGTAAACACTGTCTAAGTCGAAGCAAACGTACACAAACATTGCTCACATTTCTTTGTCCTGAGACCCTTTACACTGTAAAATGTCCTTACATGAATTTAGAGTAACTGGTTTATGTCACGGCAAGACACTCAACGCTGTTTTACTTTGATTTGAATATTCAGGCCATTTTGACCTTTTCTCTTTATCACAAAATTCCTTGCGTAATCCTGTAGTTATTTTTCCATCATGCCTTCCCTCGGGGACAGAAATGTTTTCACGCCCCACCCCTCTGATCTGAATCTGATAAGATGTTATTTTCCAATCTGTACAAACCACTGCATGAGTTGCCGCCACCTAGTGACCGGAGTGACTGTTTATCGTTCAAGCGGCACACTTCTGTCCAGCAAGCTATGTATATTACAATGGAACCCCCCCCCCACTCCCCAACTCCCACAGGACATGCCCCACTATATGTTTATGTGTGAGCTCAGGCGGTTCCTTCGAATCAACAGGGGAGGACATAAGCTCCAGTCCCACGGGCGTTAGCACGTCCTGCAAAGCGGCTCCGTTTGTGGTGATGTATTTTGTCCTTTGGAAATTCTCTCTAAGTTTTTCGGAGGTCCCAGCAACATAAGGAATGACAATGTTGTTCCGTTTGTTACCGTCCTACCGTCCTTTTGAAGAAAGGCCCAATTGGGGTAGCCACAGGTCTTTAAAGCTCCTTTGATGTGGGACTGGTCCCCTTAGCCTTGTCCTCCTCTTGTGAAGGAATGTGTTTGGCCCTGGTGATTCAGGGTGCTGATAACTCCCAATTTGTGTTGTAACGGGTGATGATGTGAGTCAAAGTAAATACTGGTCGGTGCGGGTGGGTTTCCTGCAGACGTCAATGTAAAGGTTTCTGTCTTCCTTTATGTGTACCACCAACCATGTCCCCTTTAACAGCACCCATCTTACGCAGCGATCTTATGCGCTTTAGGAAGTCCGTAGATGTGTGGGATGGAGACACCCATCCCATGATTTTTTGGATTTTTTTTTCCGATTAAATGACCTGGATGGCTGAGAACCTACACAGACTTTTGTGCAACATCTTTCTGTCTAAATGTCCCATGTTACAATGTGGACACCTGCGGCTTATAGAAAAGTGCAGTCTATGTACAGTATGTACAATTAATTTTTTTTTATTAATGGATGCGGCTTATATTCAGGTGTGCTCAATAGTCCAGAAATTACGGTACTCACTCACGACTCCATGCTCCAATGCTGCCAATGCATTCCGCACGACGTGACAACTGTGATTCATTGTCACTAAAGACATACTTTACAATTTTGCCATTAAGTGAGGACCAACTGTATTTTGTACTGTGTCACAAAAACGTTGTTTTTCCTTGCTGTTTCCACATGTTTTTTGGGGTTTTTTTGCCTTAAAAATATAGGCACTATAAATACAAGCAGTGTTTTGATAGGCTGGCTATCATTTTAGAATCAGGGGTGTGATTGGACTGTTCAAGTTCAAAACATGGACTTGTGAGTGAAGAGTTGATGTTAAAAATCTGGCTTTGCCAAGGCTGTAGTGAAAAGTGAATGTTACCCACTGCTAATGTTCATGGAAAGGACACATTTATTCATACTAATAAAAAATATTAAGGTACTTGGTAGAAATCATAGCAAAGCCACTGAGACAAGCACGAAGAGACAGCTGCATAACTTCAACAGAACAGATGGGAGGGAGTGCGTTACACAAATCAGAAATAAAACAGGGCATGCCTAAAGACCATAAAAACATTTTTTTTTAGTTAAATGCTGTTAGTTATTTTTACTTCTTTCTTCTTTCATAAATATGTACGGTTTATTCAAGTAATGCATGTTTGACTATAATAACATTTTGTTTATCACTTGGTTCTGTTACGCTAAAGTAATGCAGTGGTTGGCAATTATTTTCTGTCATGCCCCCTCCCCCTTGGGAACAGAATTGTTTTCACGCCCCCCTCCCTGTAAGTAAGTCTCAAGTCTTTGCACTCAAGTCCGAGTCAGGTCTCAAGTCAAGACAGGCAAAGTCCGAGTCGAGTCCAAGTCAAGACTAAAAAGTGTCAAGTCAAGTCCCAAGTCCTTACGTTTCTATAATCATATATTTACACAGATCACTTTGGGTTTTGGAGAAAGTATCAATTCTTGTCGAGTCAAAGGGCCCAAGTCCAAGTTAAGTCACGGGTCATTGATGTTAAAGTCCAAGTCGAGTTGCAAGTCTCTTTGCATTTTGTCAAGTCGAGTCTAAAGTCATCAAATTGACGACTCGAGTCTGACTCGAGTCCAAGTCTTGTGACTCGAGTCCACACCTCTGGAACCTGATAACATGTATATTTTAATCTGTACAAACCACTGTATTCAGTTGCTGCCACCTAGTGACTGGAGGCTTGTTATCATTCAAGATATGATATTTTTGCAGGCTCTCAGAAAACAATGTTTAAGTTAAGTTAAGTTAAGTTAAGAAAAGTCCACATTACCTCCATGGAATGCTTAGAAAATACACGTTCTTTCCATCTTAGCCGTATGCGGAAGCAGATGCAACGGTGTAGTCACTAGTCTTCTCAGCAACTATGCCGCTGAGACACTTAGGTCTGACCCAAGTAGTGGACAAAAGAAGGAAGTTATCCATTATCTTAAATAGATGGGGGGAAAAAACAATCATTTTGTCTAGCAGCTCTGCTTCAAGCTGTAAAATGGGGAATTCATTTTTCTTTTTCTTTTTTTTTTAAAGATAATAATAATAATAATAATAACTGCATGACATTTGTATTCCTTATTTCTTATGTCATTTCATTCTACATGACATTTTTATTCCTTATTTCTTATGTCATTTCATTGTGCTTCTAGAACAAACACAAAACCTAAAACAAACCTTAAGGTCCTGAATTCAATCATTCACATGTTAACGTTAACGTTTTGTATTACTATAACAAGTACCCTTTTCTGTACTATAAGTCGCACTTTTTTTCATTTTCT